TGATGCTATGTAACGTTCTATGGGCATGAAACATACCTTCACTAATAAAGTAGCACTATTAACCTCAACAGTTTAATTTCTAGATCCAGCAGTTTCATAATGCATTTTTACTACTTATTCCCTAAGAATGCATAGTACATATGAAAGCTCATGGAAAAAAACATAAAAAGAAGCGAAATTTCACGCTCAGTAAAATCAAGGATTTGCCCTAACTGGAAACATGAGTGAGTGCAGGTTGTCTTTGTTCAGTAGAACATTTGCTTCCAGAGAAGGGCTATGCCAAGAAGAGCACTTCATGGCTTTCCAAAAAAACAGTTTTTAATACTGGTAAGAAATGTCTTATGCTTCAAATATAAAAGGAAGCAGAGAAGAAACATTTTTTTTTTTTTTTTGACACAGAGAAGAACATCCCTTCATTTCATAAACTATCCAGTTTATTCAGTTCAGTTCAGCTTTGTGTAACAGAGGTCAGAGAGAATTTCCAAGAACTCTTTGTGGCATTTTTTATCACCCTTTATAATATCAGACAGGTTTCCTAGAGGTGCATGTCCACTTTATATCTGACTATTTTGTGGACAGCTAATGTTGAACGTCATTTAACAATCTTTTATTGCTATGACTTGGGTCAGCATTGAACAGATACCAAAATATGTGTGTGTGTGTTAATTCTTAGCACCCATATAAGGTGACTTTCTCCTCCAGTGTACCATTTAGTTAGTCGTGTACAGTTTGAGAAAATGATTAGACTTACCTGCATTTTAATTTGATCCATAACATTTGCATATACCCCAAGGAAAACATAATTCCTGCCTGCTCACAACAATATGTCCTGCTTTTATACCCAGCCTTTCACTCCCCTGCCTTGTCCTCTGCTTCCCACACTTCCCCACACTGAACCTTTCGCACATACACTCACATTCAAACATCCCACCCTCACCTGTAGCTCCCAAGATGGCCAGCGTCAGGAAGACAGGTAAGATGATTTTGAATGCTACTTGGAATCGTGGCTCACCTGCATTTTACTGAGGCTTGTGGGCAGATTGTAATTTGTACTGGCCATGGAACCAAAACAGAACGACTTTGGTCCTATGTGGGTTATGGCTTTTGTTCCTACGTGGACTTAGCGTGTTTGCAGCAATCCCCTTTGAGATGGTACCCCGGAAGAGTCCATTCACCTCCCCTGGGTGAGCTGAATAGTTCGTGTGGCTCCCAGCAAAGAGTTCACAATTCTTAAAAGCAGCCCCCGGGTCTGCCCAGAAGTTGCATGACCAAAGCAGTTTGGATGGGGAAATGCTTTAGCGCCCCCGGTTGCACGTGCAAAGCTGAGTGGGCAATTTTAGAAGGCTCCTGTATCTCCTCTTTTAATATGAGATGTTGGTTCCTGTAGTAGATACTCCCATTAATAATTATTTAAAATTCATATTTTTGCTTAGAGGCGAAAGTCCATTGGGCAGTTAATAATTTAAGTGTCCTTTGGGGGAACGGTAAGGGTTATGCTGGTAAGACTTGAAAATCGACTCCGAATCTCTGTGGCAGTGATAAATAATTGAGGCGACCCAGAGCTTTTAACACCATGATTCTAACATGACAGAATTTCATCCACTCTGCATTCAAGCCGGCTCTTACCAAGCAGCCCTGAGTGCATCTCCACTTTGGTGTATGCTGTGCCAGTCCTCTGCTTAAGCTCAGATCGGCTTCATCTGCCACCAGGTCATTCGGGGGACTCCCCCTTAAAAAACCATCAGTGAAGGCAAAGGTCATCTTAATCACCCACATAGTACTGGGTTTGTGGCATTTTATCTAAATGCAACGGGGACTTCTGTGACTGCAGGAAAGTAGTCCCAAGTACGGAGTAGCACTAACAGTGTAGTATCTGTATCACCGTGAAAAGTGAGGCAAATGCCTGTAGGTCCTAAGTGAGCAGACACCTGCCGCTGTGCCCTCACCCAGCTCTCACGTGACAGTGGTCAGGTTGTCCTCAGCATGTATTGGGGCCACCAGGAAGGAGCAGGTGAGATTAGGGAAAGATTAGGGCAAGAACATGCCATCGTCACTCCCAGACCCCGGAACAAGCTCTGGTGGTGACAGTGCTTTACATGGGGTTGGAAGGTGTCCTTACCCTTGAGTGTTACCTAGCAGATCACTCACTTCATCGGTGTTTTTCAATGCCATTGTCTTACATTTCTATTTTCACGTAGTGACTCTGAAAATAGATGAAGAGTTGTAAGTGTCACGTATCAAGTGCCCACTGTAATCTTTATGTCTCACATCCCGAGATGTAGGATCATTATTCCCTTGTTGTGTTGGGGCAAAACCGTGGCATAAAGAGTTACTTGTGTTAGAGCAGAGTTAGTATTTGTTAGAGCCGGAATTGCAGGTGGCTTGGTCTGACCTCCGTGAGTTTAGCGTTACCATACTTTCTGAAAAGTAATAGGGTAGGTATTGACATTTAAGTCCCATCTGAGGCACTTAAGTCCTGGCTGTGGCTATTATAAAAATGAATGAGGAGTGATTGTGTCTCCTTCATGTGACTGGTCTGCTTTAGTCATCCTGAGTGGCAGAGCTGAACTAAAATTGCCTTGTAGGCCTAGCTGCAGAGATAGAAATCCAGAAACTCTGAAATATCTCACGTTGCACCACAACCCATTGGCACAAGAGCACGCCTTCATTGTGTAATTCTAATATAGCGACTACAGTTATGATTTTTTAAAATCGAATAATGATAACGGCTGACATTTATGCAAAGATTCACTTTACTTTGTAAGTGAATGGCCTGGGCTGCTGCCCAGCTTTAAATGAAAGCCGTATTGGAACTGAGTGTCCTCCTCGGACATGGATGGGAAATAGCGAGCTTATTTTCCTTAAACTACTCTGTCCTGCCCAGTTCTCCGCTTTTATTTTCAGTCCTGCAGTAGCCTTCTCCATCCCCGCACCAGGACCTGCCCACTTTCCCTACTTTCTTTGTCTTAGGGCCAGAAGTGTCAGTTGTTGATCTAAGAGGCAGGCAGTCTAGTGCGGTTTCTTTGGGGTTCTGGAGAATACCTCCTGTTTTTATTTTCACTCATTATTGGCTTTGCTTTAAGGAAGGATATGAGGGGAAGACCGGGCTTCCAGCGCTCCTCACTGGAATGGCTTTGTAAATGCACAGGGCTGCTCCATGGCCAAGTTGAGTTTGGCATGGCTATGCAGCTGTGAGCTAACAACTCCTGCTATGAGCACACAGATGACAGCAAATATAAAAGAGGACTTGGCCGGGCATGGTGGTGCACGCCTGTAATCCCAGCACTAGGGAGGCTGAGGCAGGAGGATTGCTGTGAGTTTGAGGCCAGCCTGGTCTACAAAGTGAGTTCAAGGCCAGTCTGAACTGCAATGAAACTCTGGCTCAAAAAGACAAACAAAAAATAGAAAGAAAGAAAGAAAGAAAGAAAGAAAGAAAGAAAGAAAGAAAGAAAGAAAGAAAGAACGAACGAACTTGGTGTGCATGGTTCCTGAAGTAAATAAGACTTGGTTATGTGTTTGCAGACCTAACTAGCTTTCCTCAACTTGGATTTCTTACCAGTAATATTTAACCTAAAAAGTTGGACCATTGGGAATAGTCTTCAATTTAGAAAGGTGCATTAAGTTTAAATGCATGAACTTGTCCTTATTTTATGCATAAAAGATCTTAGTACTTTTAAAAGGTGTTACTAAAAGAGATTAATTTCTGAGATAGAAAATATTCAGTGCGTGTCATTTTGATAGAGCTTTAGAGCATTTGAAGTACGTAATATTCTTGAAGAACTACCCTTGATTCTTAAAACTGGGGAAGAATGTTCACCTGGATCTCAGTGTTGGTAGGAAAAGTGATTTTCAAACTTCAGCTTGAATTCGGTGACATGTAAAATGGAAACGAATTTGAGAACGATGGCAAAAGCAGAGCAAGGATATGACCTAGATGGGAACCAGAAGCAGGGTAGGCCGTAGATCTTACCCTACCCAGTGCCACTCCCCCCGCTCCACCCCTTCCCAGGGTGACTGGGAACAGAACTGCATCCTGCTGGAATAAAGACTTGTGCTAGAATGTGGCAGTGAACCAGTTCTTGATGTGAGGCTTTACCACCTTGTACCAGGAATTAAGGAGTGAAGGGTGTGCGGAACCGCTTTTGGGAAGGGGATAGCTGTTGAAATCATCATGGCTCTTTTCTATTGATACGCTCTGAATGGATGTTTACATTCAGCTTTGTTCTCCCCACTCTTAAAGACAAGTTAGCAGCAGGCATGGCCTCTTCTAGCTCACCCACTCTAGTCGCATACATTACCATTACAGATACAAGGGTCAGGCAAGTTCAACATAACACACCACTGCTTCCCCAGCAATGCTGAATGGAGAGATGTATCAGGCCATTTTTGTATGTTCTCATCAGACTTTGTTTGGCTGAAACTGCACTCCTTACTGCTTGCATGTTTACTAATTTATTATTACAATCTTTGTATTTGCCTTTGTTTCCTCACAACTAACACACTGGCCTCCAAATGCATGAGTTTTGTGTAAACTAGTATGTGATTTAGCAACTAGTGAATATATCAGTGGTAATATATTTTAAGAGCTTAATTAGAAGTATTGTACTTAGAAACATTTTTATATTAAGTGGTAAAAATAAGGCAGAATATTAATATGTTGTGCACTTCATTTACCAGTATGAGCTCTTCAATAATTTTGTTTCTTTCTGTTAGCTTTTTATCTATTCTAGAGGAGACTTCATTGTTGGCTTTCTAGTTGAAAAGTATGATGCTATCTAGTAACATTTAAACAATCCATTGCATTCATGGATTTAGGAAGCTACAATTCCAGCAATACAGTTTTGGGAGTGACAGAGTTATTTTCCTAGTAGTTAGTGCTTTGCAGTAGGAGCTTATAAACATAGAAGTCAGAGGGTTTGTTGCAAACCCACTTTTCAGATATTTGCAAAGGATATTTGGCAACCTTGTGATATTTATTTCATATGTTCTCGACGTCTCAGGACTTTATCTCCTGCCAAGTCTCCTTCTTCATCAACTGGGTCTATTGCCTCCAGCAGAAAATACCCTTACCCAATGCCCCCACTTCCTGATGAGGAGAAGAAAGTGAACCGACAAAGCGCCAGGGTAGGTGGCGATGTCTTTCTTCTGTGTGTTTACACACCCATTCATTCCCATTTTTTCTGTGAGTAGCCATGTTTCCTAAAATTTGTTCATAAGAAAAATGAGAAAAATTAAAATTGAAAATCGGAAGATTCTTGGGGATTTGGGGAACAGATTTATAATTGCATATTAGTTTAATCTGCATTGGTATATCAAGTGATAGGGTATATTATTTATTACTATGTATAGTACTTACATCTTTTATTATTCATTGTAGTTAAGATATTAAAACCTGGAATCCATAAAACAAACCATGTATTTTGCTTTGTCGGTTTTTTAATAACCCTGGAACTGCCAGAGACTAAGTAAATTACCCTCATTTCCATGTTCAGTTTGCTTGCACAGGCCTTTTACCTGCTAATAACACATCAGTAGGATTTTAGAAATAGAAATCTATAACAAAAAATCAGATCAGGGCTGGGGCTGTAGCTCAGTGGTAGAGCATTTGCCTAACATGTACAAGGCCCTGAGTTTAATCCCCAGTACCACTAAAAAAAAAAAGGAAAAAAATGCCCAGGATGGACTAAAAAAACCAGTGTTTTGGAGATGGAGATGGAAAAACACTTTTTTTTTCAGTGCTGGGAACTGAGCTACACCCCAGCATTGAAAAGCCAAATTTAAAAACAAAAGCAGAGGTAAGGCCCTGGTTTCAATCCCCAGTACTACAAACACGAAGAAAGAATATTGTCTCCTCTTAAGTTTTAATCATGGTATCACTGTCTCACAAGATGCCTGGAGCACATCTGTTATGTGAAACTTGAGGTCTAGTGGAGTTCAGAGAGGCAAATGAACCCTGAGAGGTTTAAGTGAAAGGCACAATTACTTTGGATCCCCAGACTTTGTTGTGGTCTGTTACACTATGGGGATCTTCTTAGAAATAATGTTAAAGGGGAAAGAAAAAGCTTTAAAAATCTTGATGGAATAAATACATGAAAAAATGTTCAGCATTGCTGGCCATTAGAGAAATACAAATTGAAACTATTTTGAAATACCACCTTACCCCAGAAAGAATGGCTATCATCAAAAAAAAAAAAAAAAAATGCTTACAAGGCTGTGGGCCAGAAAGGAACTCTACTACATTCTTGGTTTTCATTGTTGTTTTTTTTTTTTTTTTTTAGAGAGAATGTCTAAAAAAAAAAAAAAAAGTAATAATAAATGCTGGTGAGGACGCGGGGAAAAAGAAACCCTTCTGAGTTGTTACTGGGAATAGAAACTAGTACAACCACTATGGAATCAGTTTGGAGGTTCCTCAAAAACAAACCAAAAAAAAAATTGAAATTCCATTTGACCCAGTTAACCCCTTCTGGGTATCTTCCCAAAAGAGTTAAAATCATCATACTACAGGGATACATGCATACCCATGGTTTAGCAGCATAGTTTATAATAGTTAAATCTTAGAAACAGCATGTATGTCCATCAATGGGTGGATAAGGAAAATGTTATATTTAGACACAATAGAGTATTACTCTGCCCTAAACATAAATGTGAGACATTTATAGGTAAATGGATGCAACTTGAGGATGTAATGTTACGTGAAATAAGTTAGACACAGAAGCTTAAACATCACCTGGTTTCTCTTATGTGAGAACCTCAAATATATATAGTTCAAATAATTCCCCAAATTACCTGATTTCCATAGTGGTTGCACCAGTCTGCACTCCCACCAGCAGTGGCGAAGGGTTCTTTTCTCCCCACAGCCCCTCCAGCATTTGTTATTGGTTGTTTTCTTGATGCTAGCTAGCCATTCTTCCTGGGGTGAGATGGAATCTCAGTGTTGTTTTAATTTGCATCTCACGAATGACCAATGATGTTGAACATTTTTTCATATATTTATTTTCCATTTGTATTTCTTCACCTAAGAAGTTTCCATTTCACTTTGAGATGAGGACTCAGTAAGTTGCTAGGCAGGCCTGGGACCTGTGATGTTCTCCCCTCCGCCTCCCACGTAGCTGGGATTACAGACCCAGCCACCACACCATGTTCCAACATAATATTTAAAATTTTTTTCTTATTGCATGTGAATATTTACTTATTCAAAATGTTGAAGAGCGTTAAATGAGGGTGTGAATTTTTTTGTATCCAACGGTGGAATTTGTGAAAAAGGTTGAGCTGCAGCTTTAGAAGAAAGAACTAAACAAGAAGCTTTGCAAAGTCCATCCACGATCGTGTGTGAATGGGTAGACTTAGCAAGTCTCTCCCTCTCGTAATTCAGAGTTCTCGTCTGCTTTGCTGCTTTCACAGTGTGCGATTCTGCTTTTCTCTGTTGTGCAGCTATGGGAGACATCCATTTAAGATCCACTGTTTACATGTGACACATCGAAACTGTTTACTTCAACTTTTATAGAAACCCAGCCTCACGGAATCACCGCACATCTTTCCGCTCTTCAGACAGTGCGAAGACCCTCAGAGAGGCCACGGGGAAGAGGAAGCCAGTTCTCACATCTGGATATCATTTTCTTTTTGTCATTGGCTTAGGATTTAATTGAACCATGAAATGAACTACTGCAATGTTACACTCTAACATGGAACTGGTACTGGTATGTTAACGGATAATTCTCATGACAGATATATATATATAGAAATATCAATAAAATTAACTCACATGACCCAAATGTAGCAAGTTTCCTAAGGGACAGTAGTGGATTCAGAACCTGACCTTCTGAAGCACATCCTCATTGTAAACAGTAATGCTATATGCATGAAGCTTCTATTCATTGTTTTCCATAATTAAGGAAACAACATCCCATAATAGAAACTAGCATGCAGGGCTACAGCATATAGGAATTTTCTGCAGAACCTTAAAGCCTGGAGAGGCCGATATCCCACATGCTAACTTTAAACATGTATTTTTATTTTTGATTTGTTTTTACTTTTCATATTTATATCAGCATACAAGGACAATTGTACATATGTAAACATTTTTAAAATTCAAAAAAGCAGCTGTTACACACAAGTGTATTTTGCCAAATGCCTAAAAACAGTCAGTCACGGTCACATCATTGTCTTCTGTCCTGTGGTCTTCAACGCGTACACGCAGATGATGTAAATATAGCGGTCAGTGCTGTAGCGTGTCTCCCTCTAGCTGGTATCTGTCTAAAAGGCGGTATCCCCTAAACTGTGTGTAGCAGGAGGCAGTTTCATGGAGTGACGGAGAAAACAAAATGCCCTGTAAGAGTCCAGCCCTCAAGACTGCGGGGCTTGCTGAAGTGGAAGGCCAGTAGCACAGCTGCCTTGGGACACTGACCAACTGGCTGCTCCCTGGGGATTAGCCAGCCCGAGCACTTCTCTCCTGGGGACACGTAGTGCTGCTGCAGTGCTCTCTCTTTCAGTGCCGGAGCACCTCCGTTAGTCTCACCTGCAGGCCAGTGAGCCCCTAGCAGTGCGTGCTGCACAGATCAGGCAGAAGCATCCGAGACACTTGCAACCCAGGAGCTCCCATCCTGCCAGTACTCCAGCCCTTTCCAGCCTGAAGTACTGGCTCCTTGACAGAACATTGCAGCCACGCTTATCTAGGAAAAGAATGACTCACTGCACCAGAAACAGCTTTCCCTTAAGGATATTTATACTTACTGGGACTGAGGCCCAGCAAGGCGTTCCGCACTGACTTTGAAGCAAGGTGATGGGCAGTGCCACTGTTGGAGCTTAGAAGCCCCAGCGGGGCATAAGGGGTTAAGGAAAATTGAAAGGCCTAACAGTGCTGCACCAGTGAAGTCACACAAACAGCTGGCAGGGGCAAGAATCTGATGCTTTCAGCCCTCTCATTTGTAATCCTTAGAAAAATGAGAATCTGTATTTCAAGCCCCTTTCGAAACCACAGTCTGATGCTGCCATAGGCAGCTCTGTTATTTCAGAAGAAAAGTACCGTGTCTATGGAGGTCGGTAGACAGTGGTGCAGTCCGTGGTCTGCCATGGAGTCGCCTTCTGCTTGCCTTTCTGTTTTGAGAGCAGTGAAATCAGTAATGAGATTTCAGAAAGGTCCTCTAGATTGTATTTCTTCCAGTAATTTCCGTGGACAAAATCCATCTCATCTCCACGTATAAACATGGTAGGTTCCCAGTTGAAGGGCCAACTTAGAAACTTGTGTTCATGTTTTCTGTAATGGGCCTCTCTTGTGAAAGTCTTTGAGAATGTTTGAAAAGCAGTTTAACCATCCAAAATTACAAGTGGTAAGTGGCATTTTTCATGCTAGGAAAGGATGCGATTGTTGAAGCCTCGGGAAAGCCATGTGTCAGACCCAGGCGGGGTGAGCGTTGGGCAGTGTTCTTGGGTAGCTCCAGCCAAGGACAGAAGGGCGCACAGCTTGAAAGATGCAGCAAATAAAGCAGCTTTTGACCAGGATCACTTTAAATGTGCACTGAATGTTTTCTGGTATTGAGTGTATAAAAGGCTAATATTATAAGAGTTATTTTGACTATAAAAGAGATTATAGATTTGAATGTATAAGGTGCCTCATGTAAATATGCTTCCTAGTTATAGTGACACCAGCCTAGTTTGAAGGAGTCCACAAATGGCTAGCTAGTCAACTGATTATCTGTCTGTCTACCTACCCAACCTATTTATCTTTTCTTACCCTCTCAATTAGTTTTCACCTGAAACTAGTATTTCAAATAAAAATCATTATAACGTGCCTTTTGGGAGATACGGTTCTTGAAGAAGTATATTGTTTATGATCGTACTCCTTGGTAACAATCTTCACATGAAACTGAAAGGTATTTTTGTTTTGTTCACAGAGATTATGCTTTTTTAAATACAGTAGATACAATGTGCTACTCTGAGCATCTACTCTTATCTCCCATGTTTAAATATTCTTAGAAGCATTTGTGGAATTCTTTGACAGATTTTAGTTGTGATGGATAGTTTCAAGAAATATCTACATGTACACCCACCCATGACTGGTGATCTGAAGCATTACATTGAAACATTTTGACTTTACATTCACTGAGCTGGTAAGAATGGATGCATAGCATGACATATAAGCACAGCAGTTATTTCATTTAGCATACCTATTTTGGAGAGAAACTTTGAGGCTATGTAGCAGTTTGTATCATGCTACTAATATTGATATTCCCGTTTACTGCTATCACTGCTCAGCAGGGAGGAGCAGTTCGCTGTTTGGCTTTATGGTTTAGGGAACACCTTTTCCCCTCAAAAGTTCTGATCTCTGATGGGACTTCAGCGTGACAGCTCTGCTGCCTGAGATGTTTCATTTATCCAGTTATTACCGTTTCTCATGTAAAGGAACATGTGAATGTCTCCATGTAGTGTCAACAGGAAGGTGTGAGACGACAGGGAGCCCATAAGGAATGGATTGGCTAGACTGAGAGTTCTTTGTGTCCAGACACTTTCTTCAGAAGGGAAGGGAAATCCTCTTCTGATTCAGCAAGCTGAAAAATGACCTGCGGTCACTGCAGCCCTGGCAGTGTGAGGAAGGAGGTGGTCAGTTCTCTCAGCCAGCTGCAGCTAGGTGAGAGCTGATCAGCTGTTGTTGCTGGGTTTTTAAAGGTACATGGTGCCTCAGTTAGGAAGAACCTATCCTTGGACTTGTTCGGTGAGAAGAAAAGTGACTAATACAGCAAATTTGGGGTTAAAATCACAAACGTCTCAGTTTGATGTTGGTGCTTAAGTGACAATACAGTTTCTCTTCTTCCTTGTTTTAAAAGTGTTTTAAAACTGTGTTTGTATGTAAGGTCAGTTCTGTATAGAATTTCTTTGTTTTTCTTTTTGAGACAGGGTTTCATTATACATCTCAGGCTGGCCTTGAACTCACTTTGTAGTTGCAGCAGTCCTCCTGCCTCAGCCTCCCAAGCGCTGGGACTAAAGGTGTGGGCCACCACACTGGCCTGCACAGAATTTACCATAAGATTGACAGGTTTCTAAAAGAAGTTGCTTTGAAATAAAATTAGCTTTTCTGTTACTTCCAGAGAGAGACAGTTTGAATTCCATAATCAGCTTACATTTTTCATTTTTTTTTGTTGATTCCCTTGCATGTTAGCCTAATTTAATCTTGTGCGTTTTTCTAAATATTTTTTCAGTACTTTACCTGCTGCCTTTTTTCAGATTTTGTTCTTTTTACAGCTACCTTTCAGCCAGAGGCGCGTGGGGCTGAGGGTTTGTTCGCCCTGCCCGCAGCCAGAGAAGTTCCTGGGGCTTGGGCGGCGGGGTCCTGATGCACGCGCTGCCCTCAGGGAGTAGCTGGGAGATACCTGGCTCTCTCCGCTAGTTTCAGCTGGGAACTGTGGCGGTGTGGGCGAGCACAGACTCGAGCCCAGGTGTCTAGCCGCTCCTGGAACACTGGCTCCTCAGCCAGAGGAAATACAGTATTTCTAGTCACTTTTTTCAGAGTTTCAAACTCAAGTTGATTCACTTCCTATTGTCTTGTTTTAACCTTACACACAAACACACACACACACACACACACACACACACACAGCCAGTACTTTTATTTCCTTACGTTATTAAACATGGTAATAGCCCTTATTTAGATAAGACTGTTTTGCTTGAGCTTACTTAAAGAGAAGGAAGGCTTTTGAGCAGCTCGCAGGATGAGGAGGGGGGAGCCCAGGGTGGAGCTGACAGGCTGCCGAGGCAGGACAGCTGCCCGCACGGCGTGGTAGGGGCCCACTGTGAATACCCCCTGCAGCTTCAAAGTCAGCATAAGTTTTACAAGAAAGACCCACTCGCCCATTTGCAGCCTGTTTGCTAATTTTTATTCTCCCAGTTATTTTCCTTTCAATTGTTTTCCTCTAGAATTGCCACCTAAATACTTTCCCACTTGAAGTGTGCAGCATACATGTACTTCTTTCTCATTCTGGCTCTCCCAGGTTAAAATGTATCAAAAGCAAACATTTCTGTAGCATAGGGCTTAATTCGGGACTCATACTTACTTTCCTCCTCTGAGATGTTTTCTGAGTGGTTAAGACTGATTTTTTATGCAGCAGCTTTTCTTCTGGCACTGGGTAACTAAGGAGTGTAGCTAAGGAGTTGTTCTACCATACCCATACTGCACATGCAGACTTTATAGCAAGACTTTACAAAACACAGGGTAGCATTTATGTTCACATCGTTTTCATTGTCCTGTAACGGTCTACAACATGAAGCGTCTTCATGAAGCATTCCTGCCAAGAGGATATACCCATGGCCTGACAAACAGTAAGCATCCTCCTCACTATTGGCTTAAGGGATACTTCCAGAACCACTTTACTTGTGAAGTAGCCCCGCCCTCAGTAGCTGTGCACAGTTTCTTCATGATTAAGAACTTTTATCTGTCATGGTAGTAGGACCTTGTGTAGCTGCAGAGGAAATGTGGAGAACCTTAGGGGTGCAAAGTGAAGGGTGGAAGGCATCTTTAGTCCCCTCTCTTGATACTGGCATGGATCATGAACCTTGGGAAGTCACTGAGAGATGTGATCTAGGGTATGAATTGCAGGCTGGGGAAGAAATAAAAAGCAGCAAGCTCTGGCATAAGGCAGAGTGGACACCCACATGCAGAACCCAAAATCCAGGCATATAGGAGAGCTCAGATGGCCACTGGGCAGGTTGCAGGAACAGAGGTACAGGGGGCCTAAGGCAGATCTGTGTGCTTTGCATGTGTACCAAGTGTTGGCTGTGTCAGTACTGTGTGGTGCAGTGGCATGTCCCTGTTGCTCTGTTCACAGAACCTGGGGTTGCTTCAAGGGTGGCAGAGTTTTGGTCAATGGCTCCATCATTTCGTGTTCCTAAGAATCTTTGGAACCAAAATGAAGCACATCGCCTTGTTTGGTTTCATTTACAAGAAGGCATACAGAGACTAAGCAGTCTTATTAAGATAATGTGCACATCATGAAGTTTCAGTTTATAAAAAAGGTGAACACACATACACAGATCTGCATCCACTTTAGGGTTTAGCCTTTTATAAATTTCAAGCTGTGACTTTTGTTTTGATAATTAAGCTCTAAAATAATGCAAATAGCCCCAAATCTTTAAATATAGCGGTGCTAAGTTATATCAGATAACACAATACAGAAAGTGCTGGTATGAATTAATGCACTTACTAATAATGAGTTCCTGCTAAATTGTACATGTGTATCACTGCCTGATTGGAAGCCCTACTTTTCTTTTCTAATTGAGCACAAACTCAAAGTGATTCTACAATTAGTCTTTTTAATGGGTAAAAATGACTGAACACCTTTCTTTTGTATGGAAATTTTTTAAACAGTATTTGCAAAATGCTTAACAAAATGTTCATTCAGAATAAGCATGTATTTTTTTTTTTTTTTCACTTGTTGGAAGAGTTGTCTCCACCAGACTAGCATCCCCAAAAGATGACTTTCAGAAACTGGATGTTCTACCTAATCAGCAGTTTCTGTGTTTGCTGTAGGTCTGTACTTGTGTCTCCCACTTCCACTGTGCTGGAGGCGTAATGCCCATCTGCAGATGAGGACAGCCACCTGTGAGGTGTTCATAGCACGGTTTCCCTTTTGATACCCAGGCAATCATGTGTAGATACTTAGATGTGCATCGTTTTAACATGCTCTCTGCACTTCAGGTTCTTAAGCTATTTTAAAAATTACTGGGTTTCGGCAAAACCAGTGGAAATGTATACGGCGACTGCTTTCCTGAGCAAGTGTGATTTGTTTTATGGCTGTTAAAGTTATAAACTTGTTCTCACATTGTAAGTAAACAAAATCTTGCGGTTTTTAAAGGTCACTGTTAACTTGAGGTTTAAATTTCCGGCACAATTTTATTAGTTTTCATTTCTGAGGCTAATACAATACTACAGTTTTCTATGGTTCTCTCATTGTAACATCAATAAAGTGACTTTCAATAAAAGATTTGTTATTTTGATGTACAACTTTTTAATCCTTTTGTTTTTCTCCTACTAGATAGTTTCTCTTTCAGAAGCTTTGTCAAGGTGCTTTTATGGGGAGCCATTTCCTATCTGTACCAAACCACTGCAGAAGAGACTATCAGCATAAGAGATGCAACAATCCTTCAGTAAAGGGCGAGTGTCTCAGCTTGTTGGCCAGTTTCCTTGGTGAGGTGGTACATGAAGTTTCTTCTACTTATCCTCCTGCCTTGCCTAAAAAACACTCCCTTCCCCTTAATGAAGATTCATTTCTTATACTGTCCCAGACACCCCAGTCAGAGTGGGGTCTTATTTAATAATGTCACATCTAGTCTTGGATGAGTTCAATATAGGTTCATGATTGATTACTGCTGCCTGAAGATGGTTCCACCCTGGCTTTTACATCTCCCAAGTATCCAATTTCATTACTAGTCATTCTTTTGGCATTTGCAACTTCCTTGGCTTTGACTCCCAGTCTGCTGAGGAAGAAAGTGATCAGGGTACTGTTAGAATGTGAGAAAAAAATGGAAGAAAGTTATTGATGAAGGGCTTGTATATTTATTTTGAGATTAAAAAATAACAATTACATATAGTTCCATTTCTTATATTTCTAGCATTCCAGACATTTAATCCATTTAAATGAGCACTGAAATAGTAATCAGCCAAAACAGAGTTTAGGCCGGAGACAGCACGAGTGTGAGCTCACAGGCCATCTTCGGTACAACCTGGAGTACAGTAACGCGCTGAGCCAGAGCTTTAACCTAATGCCTGCTTGATGCGGGTGTACACCAGCTGTCTTGAAGAAGCCCGGGCCTCTGGAGCCCCGTTTCTAAGGAACACGAGGGGTGTGCTTTATAAAGCTGGAATCTCTTGAAGCTCAAAGCCGAAGGGCATATCTCCAAAATAAAATAGAATCTTGAATTGCAGTGCTCTGAGGAACTTCATGGAAATAGTCAAGTTTGAGCACACAGCTTTCCCATGCTCCAGTCTTTTGCTTTCATAAAAATAAATAAATAAATGGACCAAGAAACTATCTTAAAGAAGTGGGTGAGACTGCACTGGAAGTACGCAGTGACTGAAGCAACAAGAAAAAGTAGCAATAAGGCAACATAAAGACTGTTGTAATGGAGGCTTTGGCCGTAATTAAAGAAAGGAGATGGCTATGTCAAATTTGTCAAGGGGAGGGACACTTTCTAACTGTAGGACACGATGAAGGCTAAGCTCCATGCTCTTGGAAAGAAATGGTGGAGTCTGCAGAGAAGATGAGGAGACTTGTTTCAAAGTATCCATAATTAAAAGTGAAGGAATTGAGTGACACCAGAAGCACGGTGTATAACACTCTGGCATTTACCCCAAAGCAAGTTCACAACCAAGATCGATGTAGCACATTTGGGATTTATCAAAGGACTGGGATGGTCAAATATGGCTCATAACTCTGGGTCAGCAATAGGCTTCTTTCTTACTGTTAGACTTACCTAGGAAAGTATTTCCCTAAGCTATGATTTATTAGAAGACCCTGGTGAGTGTAAAAGAAATAGCAGGCGTTGGGATGCTAAAGCAGAGTCCCTGCCTCTCGGTCCTCTGGGCACTTTCTGATCCCTTTCTGGGCAGCCCAGACCCAAGCAAGGCTTTGTGGCTGCACAGACACTAGGTCCTGGATGCAACCTAGATGCACCATGCAAGACACAGCAGGCTGCTTCACGCTGACCTCTAATCTGGCCGTAACTACTTGCCATGAAAACAAATTAGGGTTCAGTAAAGATTTACTCTCTCTCTCTATATACATATATGCATGCACTATTTGAAAATGTGTTAGTAAAATGAGGCTAAAGAAGCTCAAAGAAAACTTTTATTGTCATTAGTGGACAACGAATTGTTCACTTGAATGGACATGCTCACATTGTGCCCTAAAAGAGGACAAATACACTGCCGGCAAGGAGGAAGTAGAATAGGACCACTTTTTATCTGTAAAACTCTTGGGGGAGAAAAGGCAAACCAGGCCAATTTTAAATTTAAGAAACGCAATGCTGTTGATGCTAGTTGTACCACACACTTTTTCAAATCTCAAGGTACCCCAAGAGGTAAGTCCTATGTCCTTGTCGAAATCAGGGAAACAGACTCCTGGAGTTATCAAAAATGACCCAGCCACAAATGAGAGGCACAGACAGCACTGGAATCTAGACCTTACTGAAATAATTTTTAAAAAATGTCTTCTATTATATATAATACTTGCTTATTAGAGTATTTGGAAAACTGTTAGGAAAAAAGGAAATAAACCCATTACTCTGTCTCCCAGTGGTTGCTAGACGAACATTTTGGGACACCTATTCCAGTCTTTTTGCCGTATATTATTAAAAGTATAAATATGTCACATATCCAAATGGATGTATCAGTACTTTAAAAATTAGTGTATCTTCTGATTTGAGAATGGAAGAGTCCATATAGAAAATCTGGAAAATGGTGAAATGTGTAAATGAAACTAGTCACTTGGAATCGTATAGTCAAAAACAACCATAGTTAATATTTTAATATATTCCCTTAGTCTTTTTCTATCCATTTTTTCTACAGCTAAGCTTTCTAGGATTTTTAAGTATATTAAAGGTTTGAATGCGTGATGACAAAGAACTTGGTGACAGTATTTGCCATTCAAATTAAGGAGGCAGAAGATAATCACTGAAGTGTTCCCGGTTCACTGATAAGGTCATCAAAATATGTGTAAGTTTAAATAAAACCTTGACATAGATGACCATATTGGTTTGTTTTCTGCATCCAAGAGGATCTACATCATTTACATAAGAATGCACCACACATTTTCAACCATATTCCTCTCGGGGAGGAAAGGTACACAGCTGTAGTTTAATTAAAAATTTTTCCCATCATAATGAAAAGCATATAATGCACCTTGAACATTCTCCATACTCATATAAAGAGGGTTAGCAGGAAAATAAGGCATGGTTGATAATGAGTTAGGGAACTTCTAATTGGTATAGCAGATTTGACTTTATATTATCAAAATTCCAAAGAATTCCTTATCAAAACTAAAAACTTCAATTGTGTGGAGTAATAAACCTTGCAACGGCTGTTGGGGAAAGCAGCGACGACGACGGAAGTCCACGCAGGTTACTAAAGGCAAAGAGGAAGCACACATGCACTGCAGCTGGAATGTTATGTTCGACAGCTTCCTCTTGACTTAGACAGTCATGACACACTGAATGAACTGAAAGAGAAAAGACAGTGTTACATTATAGACCTCAAAGCGTTCAGTACACTGGAGTCCACAGTTATGTAGTTTACACTTTAGTTTTCTAACTTGGAACTGTGGGTTTAAAAATCCCCCACAACTTTCTAAGATATGCATCAATGATTCAGGGGAACAGTCTAATAGAAAATCCAGCTGGTTTCTCACATCTTACAGGAAAGACGTATTCAATGGATAAAGACCTATTGAAGTCCCAACTAATATTTAACACTGGAGCAACAGTCGTAGTCCAAGACAGTTACCCACAAATACAAAAACTGGAACTCGTACAGCTGAGTCATGGGGGACTCCCACACTGCAGTGTTATTCCACTACTCTAATGGAGCATCTTTAAAGGGAACAGAAACAGAATAGCGGACAGTTCAGCTACCCTTCGACAGTTCAGAACTGTGAGTTCAGAGCATTGGTACTGGGTATGAAATGCTGGCTTCCTCATTAAACAAACCCTCAGCAACAGGCTCTGCTGTGTTAATTTTCTTTTTTGCTCTGAAACCAGCAAGGCCCTGTGTGCTGCTAATCCTTGTAGCTCTTCCACAAAGCCAAGCTGCTTACCCCTATGGTATAGAAAAAAACCTGAAGACCAGGGCATTTAGAAATCTCTTAGATGAGCCGGGTGTGGTGGCGCGTGCCTGTAATCCTAGCACTCAGGAGGAGGCTGAGGCAGGAGGATGGTTGCAAGTTTGAGGCCAGCCTGGGCTACAAAGTGAGCTCAAGGCCAGCCTGAACTGCCTAGTGAGACCCTGTCTCAAAACGACAAAGAAAAAAGAAATCTCTTAGATGCACTGGTATGAGGCCAAAGCCCAGGCTTTTTCCATTCCTCAGGCTGCCTCTTCATCTTTGGGAGCAGTGACAGGAGCTGGTGAGAAGTTAAATGCACTAAAGAAAACAACGATCATTAGAAGTAACCACACTGTATCTACACACACCGAGCCGTTGAAAAGTGCACTCATAACTGTAGTGGTCTCTAAACCAAACATATGTGCATCTCTGTGTTTTACAATGGAGGAACATTTTAGACCACTCTGTGATCACACGATCTCAACTCCTAAGGTGATTTCCTTTTTCCTTCAAAGGCCAAGCAAAAAATGGAGAAACAAGTGTGTCCCTCCTTTGTTAGGGACATCAATTAATGACATCCAAGACCCACTTGTTTATTTTCACACTGGCTACCAGGCCCTATCCTGTCTTATTTGAAGTGGCTATCTAGTAAATAACTTGTTTTAAATTGTGATTTTTAAATTGACGCTGCTTCATGTTGTCAGTGAAGAATACAGATATGTCAATACAGCTTTGAGCTGTGAAAGCCACTTCTCAGTCACTCAGACGGCCTGTTATTGAAAGACACAGTACCTGCAAGGGGCGGGGGGACAATTCTGATGAAACCTTACACTTCAGGTGGAAGAGGTATTATTATGACATTCTCTTTAGTCACAATCTCAGAGCAATTAAGAAATCTGCTTAAGTGACCCAAATTACAAGTGCAACAGGCTGGGACTTGAACCCACATGGTTTAACACAAATCTAACAGTGGTCTAACCAATGGAGAACACTAACAGTAAATGAAGTCAACACATTTTGGATGGTAACTCCTTCTGATCATTTAATCCCTGATTTTGCTGGCGTAAGTTCTTAACAGCCAACTTCAAAAGGGAGGCCCAGTTTTGTGCATATGGTATCTGTCTGCTAAGCTGTTAATTTACTGAGACTTACATCGTCATATGAGAAATTCACAACACCTTGCTGAGCAGAATCCCGTCTTCGAAAGTTATCTGAAAAACAACACAGAAAATATATATATTTAAAAACAGCTTATCTAAAACTGCAACAGTTAATTACTGTGGTCTTAGGTTCAAACTGCAGTAATGTTAAATTGTACAAGGAGTTGACATAAAAGACCAAAGCAAAGAAGCCAATTATATGAATATTAAAAAGACTTACTATGTAAAGTGATGCAATAGGCAGAAGTTGGCCAATTGTTTTTTTTTTTTTCCATTATGGAGCTGGGAGAAAATACCCTACCCCAAAGTCAGTCAAAGTTGTGCAACTTCCAAGACCATTAACAGCCTGTGATTGAATATGCCAGCTGTTTAAGCCCCAATGTATTGAAAAACACTGACTTGAAAAGCATTTACAATTCACTCTTCAGCTGTTTCACACTCTACAGAGAAATCACTCCATCACATTTTGCCCAAAATGGCACAAATTAAGGCTGGGTTAATACAGTAGTAGTACAGCACCAGCCTCACATGCAGGAGGCCCTGAGGACCTGGTTTCAATCCCTACCACTGCCAAAAAAGACAAGAGAAGAGAAGAGAGAAGAGATGAAAAGAAAAAAGAAAAGCACAAATTGACTGGTTATATTTTGGGACATCTGAGTGCAATTTAGTTTTCTGTTTTGTTGTTTTTCTCAGTACCAGGGACTGAACCCAGGGGTACTCTACCACTGAGATAAATACCCAGACCTTTGTAAGACAGGATCTCGCTAAGTGGCCAGGCTGGCCTCAAACCTGCGACCCTCCTGCTCAGCCTCCTGAGCAGCAGAGGTTACAGGCTTGTGCCACAGTGCCTGGCTAGTTAAGATTACTCACTAATCTCAAAAAATTCTGATAGGGGGCTGGGGATTTAGCTCAGTGGCACAGCACCTGCCTGGCAAGCAGGAGGTCGTAAGTTTGATTCCCGGTACCAGAAAAAACCAATAAATAAATAAATAAATAAATAAAAAAAAACAAAAAAATTCTGATAGGAAAAATTATTATGTTAGTTATGCTTGACAGCAGTGCTAAAAGTACACTATGTGAAGCAACTTCTGCGAAATGAAATTCGCGGGTGCCGGATTGGCGCGCTGGCAGACTGCACCTGTGAACGCCCTCAGCCTCACGCAGCAGGCGATGTAGTCGTCGAAGGTGATCTTCCCGTTGGTGCTGTACCGTTTTGCGATCGAATTCACAGTTTGAGGATTTAACCTAAATCCTGCAAGACAGAAAAATCATCCAGCAAAAAAAAAAAAAAGGTTAAAGACTTAAAAATAAATATTAAAAAATAAGTAAGCACCATTTTTTCAGACTGTTAACTCCTCTTTGGAACAGACACAATGTCTAAGAAAACAGAAACTCTCTTCAGGGAGCACTGGCGTTAGGGAACCCCGCCGCCCCGGTCCCACGCACCCATCGTGGTCAGCGCCTTCTGCAGCTCATGCGGGTCCACCGTGCCGCTGCGGTCACTGTCGAAGCTGATGAAGTGCTGCCTCCAGCCATTCAGCACCGCCCAGAGTTCCTTAAACTCGGTGAACCCCATTGTGCCGGACATATCTCTCTGAGTTGGGGTCAAGGAGCACAGTTGTGTCACTGGGTAACATTTACTAAAGTCTGAAGTTGAGATTGGGATAAGAGGACTTCAATGTTCTTTCTGCTAAATGGGTAAAAAGAGTTACTGTACCTTCTTGGTCTGATGAAATGGCTAATGATAAACAAACAGATACCATAGAAAGAAACCGCGGAAGACCAGCTGTGCGTACCTGTTCATGGTGTGGGAAAAAGAGAACCTAAGTGGTCTGATTACAAGCGAATGACGTAGAATTGTGAGGTACCAAAAAAAGCCACAAATAAAAAGCAGTTGTTTCTGGGACTGGGTTGCACTTCCCGGTGCCCCAGGCTCCGCCGATTCCCCTCCGGCGGGGGTCATCTGTGGCTCTCACGTGTCCCGGGGAAGCTCTTCCACACACCTGGAAGATGCCTCAGGACGGAGGCACTGTAGATCAGCATCAGGGAAACGGAGTCCTGGACTGAGACCTGGACTCCACCACTCATCAGTCAAGTGCGGATCACACGGTGCGCCCATGTTGAAGGAAAAAGTCACCCTGGTGATCCTTTCTCTGCACTTGTTTGACTTTGATGCCTCTTTGCTTTTTCTGTTTTTATTGTTCAATACTGGGCGTTGAAACTGAGGCCTTACCACTGAGCCATCCCCCGACCAATGCCCTAGTTTTTGAGAAAGGGCCTCACTAAGATGCTAGATTGCTCAGCCTGGGCTAAAACTTGTGATCCTCCTGCCTCAGCCTCCCAGAGTGTTGGGATTACAAACGTGAGCTACCATGCTTGGCTACTTCCTTCAATTCTTGAACAATCAACCCTCTATTTGCTACCCTTCTTTCCTATTTTCACACTAAATTACATCCTAAAACATAAGTATTTCACAAATCTTTTTAGTGACTGTCACTGTTTTTACTGGGTATTTGGAGATAAATTCCTTTAGGAAAGAAATTTATTGGCAAGAAAACACAGACACAAAGAAGGATACATCCAGCATTGAAACCATAAGCCGACAAGTCTCCAGGTTAAAAGCTGTTAAGAAAAGTAGATACATATAAATACAATTTTAAAAATTCACTTTACATGGGGTACATTCCAGTGAATTAGGAATGTGATTACTCACTTTTGTATATGCTACTCAGTTAATGTGGGTCTAAATTATATTGGAGCTGTGAAGTAGAGTTTTTTCACATAAAAGGATTCTTTGTCAGAACTCATATTTGACTTTAAAAGGAATACTTTTTAAAGTACTGCACAGCCTTGTTAATACTTTCTTGCCTTTAAAATTATGTATACCTAAAATACAGTGAGTTTAATTCACCATGAAGAACCGTAGCACATTCCATGCACCGGGGATGTGGGAAGGCAGGGTTGCTTTGCTCTTCTCTTTTTTCTTTTTGGCACCTGGAACTGAACTTAGGACCCTGTGCTTGCCAGGCATGTGCCACTGAGCTATGTCCCCAGCCCTGCTCCTGCTCTCAAGTGACAAGAAATAGCTGCTTTTGCTAGGTTTTGTCTCGTCATTTGTTTCTGTCTTTTCCCTTTGGTGTCAGACACTGAACAGTAAAGTCCTAGCGCAAGTAATCTATGATCTCATTTTATATGCAGTAAGTTTGTTTGACCAGATAAATACGCTCGTGGAGGAAGACCTAACGACCAGCACGGTGGTGGCTACAGTTCTGAGGCCTGCCTAGCTTACCTACAGTCAGGGGCATTCGGAGGACATTTTAATTCCTCCCAAGCCAATGGGTGTGGCCTGCTGATAATGCATCTAAGTACTGGAAACTGAAGACAGAGAACTCCTTGCATCTCACATGACATTACTGTAGCTCAGTTACTCTGGTACACAGAAGCTGCAGGTCTAGAAGGCAGAAGTGAAAAGCATCAGGTGGGGAAAGCTATATAAATTCTGCAACTTTAAGATTCACATTTAAGGGGCTGGGGATTTAGCTCAGCGGCACAGCGCCTACCTGGCAAGCGCAAGGTAGTGAGTTCGATTCCCGGTACCGGGAAAAAAAAAAAAAAGATTCACATTTAAGAATGAACATTTTTTACAGCTCCTTCTAGCTTTTTTGTCTCACTAACCTGAGATTAGAATGCAACTGCACTGTTCCTATTATACTGTCTCCATACAGTACAAACTATAGATTTTGTACATTTAATTCACATTATTTTCTTTTGTTTTGGTTTGGTTTTGGTGTGGGGAATTGAACTCAGGACCTTGCACTTGCCAGGCACACACTTGTGCCGCTGAGCTATATTCCCAGCCCCTTAAGTCACATTAAAGGGGGGCTGGGGATTTAGCTCAGCGGCAAAAGCGCCTGCCTGGCAAGCACAAGGTCGTGAGTTCAGTTCCTGGTACCGGAGAAAAACCAAAAAAAAAAAACCAAAAAAAAAAAGTCACATTAAAGAATTAACCTTGCTTACAGCTCCTTCTAGCTTTTTTGTCTAACTAACCTGAGATTAAAATGCAACTTGCACTGTTACTATTTTACTGTCTCCAAATAGTACAAACTATAGGTTTTGCACATTAAATGATTACTTTACTTGGCATGTCCTTTCCTGGAAACACTGGCAGTAATTTCTACCTCGGCTCTTCAAGCTCCACGTGTTCCACACCAGTGGTTCTCCTGAGGTGAGAGAAGGTGACCACACTCCTCCACGTCTGGGAAAGAGCGGGTCGATTCTTCACTCTGACTTCTCAATAGTGTGGCGGTATGAAGTCCGCATACTCTAGACCAGTGTGTATCAGAAATCACCTGGAAACGTGAAAGGCTCCTGACACCTGCACTGCGCCACAGGATGGCTCAATCAGGATCTCTGTGTTGCTTACAGCCTCTCGGATGACTTCAGAGATCAGCCTTGCGTGGAGTAACCGGAGCAACCCTATCAGTACGCCCAAGCGCGTGTGAGGAGTGCAGAATCTTGGCCCTTAACCCACACCAATACAATCAGACTCTAAATTTTAACAAGATCCCCAGGGGAGATACATATTCCCACTATATTCAACCTGAACCAGCATCGCATGGAGACTTGTTTGAGATCAAAGTTCTCAGGTCGTGCCCCAGCTTTCCTGAATGAAAAACTCTGGGGCTGGGCCCAACAATTTGGCCTGCAGTCCTTCCAGGAGATGCTGACCCCACCAAGATTTAGGAAATACCCCCCAGACAGCATAACAACCCCAGCCCTGGCTGCTACCCTCAGAGGAAACTTTTCGTGTATGTATGTGCTACACAACACCCTTTCCCTACCCTACCCACTCGCTGCTTGGCTGGCCTCATTTCTGCTGGACTTTCACTTTTCATCAGCTTAGACAATAATTCTGCAAGGAAAACTTTTCTGCCTCCTGCCCGTCCAATGTGACCTCACAGCTTCTCCACTGTACTTATTACAATGTCCTACAGGCACTGTGAGAGGAGGCACATCCAGCACACAGTAGGTGTTCACTGGAAATGTGTAGGTGGAGCAAAAATGTATGGAGAAGACCTGATTCTCAAGCCTAAGCAGCAAGCTGTACACCGTATGCATCCCCCTCACAGAGATGGTAAGAAGTGTGTTGTTTTTTTTTTGTTTTTTTGGTTTTTTTTGGTTTTTCTCCAGTACCGGGAACTGAACTCACGACCTTGCACTTGCCAGGCAGGCGCTTTGCCGCTGAGCTAAATCCCCAGCCCCTAAGAAGTGTGTTTTACAAATAAGATCTTATATTTTTTATGATACTTGAAAGAAATGTATCAATACTTCACATACTGATAAGGTTATAGGCTACAAGTTTCCAAATAATCTACTCAACAGCTATCCCATAAACACTATGTTCAGGGGCCTAAGTAACAGGAATTCTGGAGGTAACAAAAGTGAACTAAACTACAACACTGATGTTCAGTAAGTTTAGGTGAGAAAAATAGGGTTGTTTTTTTTGGTCTTTTTGAGACAGGGTCTGGCTATGCAGTTCAGGCTGGCCTTGAGCTCACTTTGTAGCCCAGACTAGCCTCAAACTTTCAATGATCCTCCTGCCTCAGCCTCCCAAATGCTGGGATTGCAGGTGTGCACCACCATGCCCAGCTCAAAAATAGCATGTATTAATGCTAGTTCTTTTTGAAATAATTAAAAAATGTTATGATTGTTACTTTTACTTTCTTTTCTGTCCTTATTACTAGAATGCTTCAAAGATGTTTTCTTCTACCAGGAAGAAAAAACATACAGGTCTGGCAGGGAAGCCCTCCCTCTAGTGTTTTCCCTCAACTGTACCACAGGGAACAGCCGAACCTTAGGGAAAGACCTGAGCTGAGTCACCGCCTTGCACACTGGAGCTACTGTGCTCATCAGCACCGCCTGTAACTACAACTGCTTCCTTTTATGCTGGTTAGGAAGAAGGCTGGGTCCCGCGGTGCATCCACTTTGGATCTGAGCTTTTCTTTTGTTTCTAAGCTGGATTTAAAAGACTGTTGACAGTACAGTTTTGTATTACAGACCTCTGACATGCCAAAAGCAGGGTGGTTTGTGACAGCTACCAGAGGAACTAAACAGATCAGTGAAATCACAGGTTTCTATATTTCAAGAATTGATCTAAGGCCATCATGAAAAATGGCTTTCCCAAATAAAATCCTTAAAAAGACCGCTTACACTATGCAACTGTCTTTAGTAGATTTAAAAACCAGCTGCACCTCCACCGGTCTATGTGTGACACCATCTTATTTCCTGGTGAACCCTGCTATCAGACCTCCCTCCTTCACAGGATCAACTGCTTGAGGCAAACAATTAACAATTTAAACTCCTACCACCTACCACAATTTCCCTTAATCTAGAAAGTGCTTCTTTTGTGGAGGGCCAGATTAAATGACAGAAATGCAAAAGGTTTTTTTTGTATTCTCCCAACCAGGAAATAGTAATAGGATACTCAAGTCACATAAAACAAGGCATGATAACAAAAGTTGTTCAAATATGTCACATCAAACAAAAATGCTGCTACATACCCTCAGCTGTGAATTCTATGTCTGAGCATTTTAATTCACAGCTTACCAAACCGGAGGTTTTAATCGGATGTTCTGTCTCAAATACTAATTGGTAAAGTTGGTAGAGAACACACTTGCGCTAAAACACTGCTCTCTACCCTAGAAATCTGTCACGGTCAGTGGGGCGGAGGGCGGGTGGTGCTGATGAGAAGCTCCTGGCTGGCTTACAGCACCTTTGCAATATTTCCGTGTCTACTGCTTGCTGCAAAGGTAGGCCAGTGGGGGAAAGCACTAATTATACAGCAGAAGACCCAGCCAGCGAGGAACTGTAGAAGACAGAACAACAGTGGGAGGAGTTCAGGAAGTAGAATCTCTCATGATATCTGAACATGTTATCTGAAGCACAGGGAGGAGAGAGAAGATCTGGCAGGTCGATGGATATGTTCATTCTGCCAGTGGCACGTTCAGCGCTCAGGGACCCACAATACAGGACTGGCCACTCCTGAACGCCTTAAGCCTAAGTACCACTGCGCTGAGGACAGAGGAAGAGCTGGGCAAATCAGTAAATGTCAGCCCATCTTTCATGACACGTGACCTAGCAGGCTTCCGTTCTCCAGTTAACCTGTGCTCTATAAAGGAGGCCACACAGTTTGGTGGTCTGCATGGCTGCAAACACCTGGAACCCAAATCTAAGAAATTCACTAACTTAGCAGATGGACTGAAATGATCTAGTAAGAACAGGTTTCAAAACAGCCCTTCTTCATGGTTGGTGGGCGTGTAAAGGGTATAACTACTGTGGAAAACAGTATGGAGAGTCCTCAGAACACTAATACTACAAATTGCAGTTGACCTAGCTGTTCCCCTTCTAGGTGTCTTCCCCAAAGAGTTAAAGTTACCACACCACAGTGCTCCACGCATGTTTATAGCAGCACAACTCAGAACAGCAAAGTCCTGGAAGCAGTCTATATGCCCATCAACAGATGAATGGATAAGGAAAATGGTATTTGTACACAATGGAGAACTACTCTGCCATAAAGGATAAACCCGAGTCCTTTGTAGGTAAATGGATGTACCTTGAGACCATAGGTTCAGTAAATCAGTCACACAAGTTTAAGTATCACACAGTTTCTGATACATTAGAAAACTCAATATATAGGGGCTGGGGATTTAGCTCAGTGGCACAGAGCCTGCCTGGCAAGTACAAGGTCATGAGTTCGATTCCTGGTACTGGAGAAAAAACAACACAAAAAAAGAAAACTCAATATAGAAATAAAGTGTACAATAAAAGACAGTAAGAAAAAAAGAAAAGTGTTATTGTAATCCAGCATAGACAATGTATCTAAAAGTGTACTTTGATTCAGTATAACTGTCTTAGGTGTTCCATATTTTTCAGCCTGTTAGTCCACCTTTTAATCTGTATGTATGATAATTAACTTTATAAGGACTTATAAGATAAATAAGTGAGTCTGATGCTGGCCAAAAAACAAAACAAAACAAAAAATAAGGAGGAGGGACGGAGGGGAAAGGGGGAAAAGAATCAAGACGTGCGATACCTATGCACCAATTCCACACAATCAACGTACTCATTACACACCGAAAACATATACTAATAAAAAATTTAAAAATGTAAATTACATAAAGACATAGTTTAAAAACGGCTAAGAGGTTCATATTCATCATATTCTTCATGGCACTTTAAAATTGGACTTAGAAAATTTAGGGATCCATTTGCTGCTTTTTCATTGTTTTTTTTTCCTCCTGATTATTTGCCAAAATTTCATCCACATTGCAGTTTTTCACATGGCTGCTTTATAAGATTATTAACTACTTCCCCAAATATTATTTCCTCCAACACATATTTCCTAGGTATCTATTTTACCAGACATAGTGTGATTTCTGAGAAAACTGGGTGGAACCCATGCTCTCTATGGTTTAAAAAAAATTATCGTTGCAATTTTCCTTTGTGTTAAAACTATATTCATCCTCATTTTACAAAGAAAAATTTTTTATGATACAAAAAAAGAATGGGGTTCAAATCAGCATTTTGAAATAATAGCCTAATTTTGCTTTTTAAATGTAAACTTGAATCAGAAAAGTTCAGTTTCCTTGGAGGCTATGATCTCAGCTAAAATATGAAGAATGAGCACTTTCAGAGTAACCTGGGACTCACGACTTACGTTTGTATCCTCCAGCAATGCCCGACTGCGTGAGACATCTCTGTAATTCATCAGCATCAATTTGCCCATCCTTTTGAAAAAAACAGAAAAAGAAATTACAACAGTGATTTGTACTGTTCAAGTTCTTTGTTCACCTTCAATGAAACAATAATGAAGAAAGAGTATCATGCATGAGATTTTTTCTTAAAAGAAGGAATTCTTCCAAAAGTGGGTATTACTTTCCTCATCCTAACTCCTAAGCTAATTAAATAGACTAATTTAGAGTCTATTTTGACATCACTCAGTCTGAATTACTGAACTGCTAAAACTAAGTATTTTTCAAAAATCATGTATGAAGTTGATTAAAAAGAATTTTTTCGAGGGAGGAAGACTGACCAAGACACATAGCAGACATGAGTAAATAACTCGGTTCAAACAGAAAGACTCCTTGATAACTTTTTATTTAGTGACTGTTTTTTTCCAGAATGCAGTATCTGGAAGATATACATTAGGTGCTTAGTCAGTACCAGCTCATTGGCTGAATTAAGTCAGACCTACAGATATTTGTCACTTTTAGGGATTTTAAAATAAAAGACCTAAATCCTCCAGCCAATGAGCACTATGAGGAACAGGATCAATAATTTCAAAGAGGTCGAACATGAGAACACAGGGCAGGACAGCTGAAAGCTAAGCAGGTGGGGTCACTTACCCACTAGCGGTACTGGCCATCTAAGAATGCTAGTCTTGAGGTGTGCCATGTCTTGTGGTTTCAAAGACACAGATCAGTAACAGATTAAGCAGATACTTAATAGGAAAGTCTTCCAGTGTTAGACCCAATTTTCCATTCAAATTCTCAAAGCTGTGCTTCTTAGAGTGTTACTTTGAAAGGTGGTCCTAGGTTTTTATTCTGTAATATTCTACAGTACTTATTTACATTATGGTTTTGTAATTTTTAGCTTTTAGTCAAAACAAGACTGTGTTGAATCCATAAGGATACACATGCCTCTGAACACGTCTGGACAGTGCCAACAGTGTTATTTACTGTACACAGTGACCTTGTGATTTAGGAAGGGTCCTCCCTCAAGGCAGTCCAACAGCTGTCACATAACTCAGGAATGCGGGGATGTGGTCTTCGGAGCTGACCTGAATTCTGTCTCTGGGTCATCAGGTCACAACTCCTAATAAGGACAGGGGAGGGCTAACCTAGTAACATCTTGGGAGAGAAAATAAGCTTCAAAATATTCACTTCCTGATACTGAGAGTAGGAACTTTCTTACTTAGAAGGCGATGAATCTTTATATACATACCTATTTCCTGATTCAACAGAAAAAAGTGTCCTTCGAACCTGGCTACACGAACACTAATACAGGTCTTTAAATTGTACAAACAGGTTTCCCAGCTCTTCAATTTCTTCTCTTGACACCACCTTGGACTGTAATAATTCAGTTCTACAGACATCTTTCTTCTCACAGATCTTCAAAATATATTTATACTCCTCCATCCCTTCCAGTCTTTTTTAACTTTGGTTTGAACTGAACTAAAGTACAGGTACTAATACCCGGTCCTACTTTGATCTATATATGCAAGGACTAAAACAGGAAATAAAAAACTTCCCTTCTTTTTGCACACAAAAAAAGGACTCATTTCAGGGCAAAGTCTGCTCGTGTGGACCCCCAGAATCCAAAGCACGGCATCTGATCGTTCCTAAGGGAAGGAAACGCTGACCTGTCCGGCCACCGCAGCGAAGTAGCCATACAGTGGGTCCTGCGTCTGCGCGGGAAAGGCCGGGCCTCCGGGCGCACCTCCGTACTGTCAAACGGGAAACGCACGCGTTAGCATCGCGCCGCCTCGGTTTATTCACCACGCAGGGCTTCCGGGGAAAGACAGGCACCGGCTGCCCGCCCTGGACAGCGTGAGCTCCCCACCGCCCGGCGCAGCAGCCGGAGCAGCGTCCCGGCCCCGACCCGCGGGCGACCCCGAGGAGCAGGGCCGGGATGCAGAGGTCAGAGGCCAGGCGCAGGGACACTGCGGGCGGGAGGGCGGCGTCACAGCAGGGGCTGCTCGGCGCCCCGGAGCCCAAGGGTCCCGTCCCTGCGGGCCGCACTTACCCCGCCTGGGTAATAGCCGCCGCCCGCGCCGGGATGTCCAGGGTACGCCATGGTGCCGACTGCTCGCCGCCGCCCGCCGCACCCAGCGCGGCCCCGCCCAAGACCACGCCCTTCTATACTCAGGCCCCGCCCATGGTCAGGCCACGCCCCACCACAGGCCCCGACTCCGCCCCAGCTCAGGCCCCCGCCTCGAATCAGGCCACGCCCCGGCTCAGGTCACGCCCATACCCCGCCCCCAGCGCACTTCCGGGTCTTGGCCCGCGGGGTTGGCCGCGTAGCACGCGTCAGAGGAGGTTCAGCTGCAACCGCGACTTGCGAGCACGCTCCCTGCGAAAAGAGGGGCGCTGCCAGCAAACACCGGCACGGCGCCCCGGGAGCCCAATTCCCCTCGCCAGGCTGTTTCCTGGCTCACTTATTTCAAGTCCGCGATTGCCTTTCCCCGAGCCACTCGGCCTCATCTGACGCAGAACTTGAGAGCGGGCGGTGTCGCGGTGAGCACCGAGGAAGAGGAGCGATCTGCACTTCACTTTGTTATTCAGAAAATGCTTTGCCTGGCAGGTTTTGTTTTCCCTCGACTGCTAAGAAGCCAGCATCCTCAAAGGGCTCCCAGTGGTGGTTGCCAAACTATCCCCCACCCCACTTTGTATACCGGAAGCCAAGAACAAAATTTACATTCTTAAATGGTTGAAAAAAATAAAGTGAAAATTTCATAATATGTGAAAATTGTATGAAATCCAACACTGTGTGCCTAAATAAAGTCGTATTGGAACATAGCCAAACTTCTTTCATGTGCTGTCCCGGGATCCTGGGGGCTGTGACCGAAGCATTAAATAGCCCCTGGCGGGGAGGATGTGACCTAAAACATTTATTCCCCGGGCGTTAAGTTCGCTGTGCCTGGCCTAGAGCACAGGCTCTGCAGCCGCAGGACCTGGCAGCTCGTCCGGCACATTCTCCGAATTCCTCAGCCGCAAGGAGGGTAAGGATGGCCCGATCTCACGGGGATCTGTGAGAATTCCGCAAATGTGTAAAACTCTCAGAGGAAGATCTGGCTCTTATTTAGTATTGCCACAATATTTTTCAGATACTTCCAAAATTGTTTTTTCAGCAGCGGCTTACCAACGTGTTAGTAGTAGCGCTCCGCTAACATTCAGTTCTTTTGAGGTGGGGTGACGTGGGGGTGGAGTAGGGAGATATCTACGGAGTACTAAAATGACAGAATAGTCACTTACTCATAAAACCAATTCTACATTGCTTGGAAAGGTTTTATTTGCTAAGCATTGCTTCGGACTTGAGTCCTACAAGCGTTTATACTAAATTATGAATTCAGCCCTGCTCAGAGGTAAGGGCTTCAAAAGAGGCCTGAGACTCAAAATGCCTCTTCTACCCTGGTGCTTACCGTGGTTTATGAAAACAGGAATGTACTTCCTGAATAAACTCAAAAATGGTTTATATCCCCTGTCCTAATATTCACAGTTGGGAAGTCCAGTCGCATATCTGTAGGACTTTTAAAAATCATAAAGTTGAGAACACATTTTATCATTTTAAAATAATTTCCTTAACTATGTTTGTTGACTTCTACACTTGTTCACTGTTAAATTTTAACCAAAGCCCAGAGCATTTCTGAATTTCTTTCAGAACATATTTTCTTGAAAGAATATTCAAAGGTAGACATTTGAACATAAAAACAAACTATGAAGACACAAAACTGAAGCTCAGATTGTTTTCCTCATCATGTTGCTTCCTGAGGAATTAAGGCAAAGAAAGCCTACAGGGAAAAAAAAAATCTTAGAAAACTTTTCAAAAAGGCTTAAGTGTCTGCCTAGGGCAAGATCACAAAGATAAAGAATTATGCTTATTTCTTTTACTCCTAAATATAGCCTAGAGTTCATTTTAATTTTGAGCCAAATAATATGTCAGTGGAATAAAAACTCAGTCTCTTCCCAATACCTCCAAATTGCTAGTCCTAAGGCTGCACACTGCAAACTCTAAACCAGTTAAGGAAATCAGCAACAGAGCCCCTAATCTATATATATAAAATATCAAGAGAACGTCCTAACTGGCGTGGACAGTCTGTGGAGGTAGCTTCAGTTACCTTACAGGCTTTGTTCAATTTGCTGGAATTACTGTTCTATGAAAGAACCTATATGATTTCCATTTTACTAAAAGGGGGAGGATTAACTTTAATCTACATCTGATTTTCTCAGAGGAAGACAGAAAGGTGAGGCTTTTCTTTGGTAAATGAGAGTAATTTAGCAAAACCGGCAGCCAATACTGCTTTATATCCACTGTCCTAATATCCATGGCTGGGGTGTCCAGTCATATTTCTGTAGGACTTTTAGAAATCATAAAATTGCCAGTGGCATGGTGGTGCACACTTGTAATCCCAGGTCTCAGGAGACTGAGGCAGGAGGATCACCAAGAGTTCGAGGCCAGCATAGGTTACATATGTGAGTTCAAGGCCAGCCTAACTGACCTAGTAAGACCCTGTCTCAAGAATGAAAAATAAATTAAAAAATAAAAATCAGAAAGTTCAGAACATATTCTTTCTTTTTAAAATAATTTCCTTATCCATGTTTACTGACTTCTACACTTGCTCAATTTACACTGTTAAATTTTAGCCAGTCCCCAGAGCATTCAGAAAATATTTTATGAAAGAATATTCAATGCTGAATGTCCTGATGTTGAGAATGAACTTGCTGAGTGTGGTGGCACATGTCTGTAATCCCAACATTTAGGAGGCAGCAGGGTCGCCACAAGTTCAAGGCCAGCCTGGGCTACATAGTAAGTTCAAGGCCAGCCTGAACTTCATAGGGAAACCCTGCCTAAAAAGAAAGAAAGGAAGAAAGAAAGAAAGAGAAAGAAAGAAAGAAGAAAGAAAGAAAGAAAGAAAGAAAGAAAGAAAGAAAGAAAAAGAAAGAAAGAAAGAAAGAAAAAAGAAAGAAAGAAAGAGAAAGAAAAGAAAGAAAGAAAAAATGCACTTTACAGATCTTCTCAGCCAGAAAAACAATTGGTCAGTAGAAACACACAGATGAAAGACAATTGTATTTTGATTTAGAGAACATTTGAGTTGTATGGAACTGTCTAATATTACATGCATGTCTTTTACTTACCTGCATCTTGAGGTGGTTGCAGAGGAACAGGTCTTTGTGTGAGGCCAAATGGGAGAATCAGGAAGTCTAAACTTTTAACAGGGGTTGAAGCACATTACCCTCTGGATCCTTGGCAATCAGTAACCAACTGTAACCAATGCAGCAGTATGGGCAGTCTTCCCAGAGGTGCGGTGAGAAACGCAGTGCTAGAAAAAATGACCTAGGGCAGCCAAGCTCCAACAGCAACAGTGTTAGACACACCCACAAGGCAGTATTTAACAGTCCTTCACAGTAACAAGCGCCTGCTGAAGACTGGCAGAGCTGTGCATTGCATAAGTGGTAGATGACCAAGAGTCAATTTTGCCGACCCATTGCTAAATATGTAAATTAAAATTGTAAGTTAAAGATTTTAATTTACTGAAAGCCGAGGCACACAGAGTGCATCACTTCTTAATGATTATACTTCACACGTACTATGTAACGGTGTGCTGCTGGACATTAATTCCAAACTTTGGGGTCAGTCTCAGTGTGGATAATACCTTGAACTTGGCACAATGGGAATACGAACACCAGAGATATCAATTTCTACTGGAAATGAAAAATTTTGTTGTTGATTGTCTACTTTAGACTTGGAGGGGACATGTTGGACAAAATGTTAATATAAAGCAGACTGAAGTTAGAAGTGTGTGAGTATATGTGTGTGCATGCGAGTGTGTGTGTGTGTGTGTGTGTAGCAATTCCAGTGTGTATTGCACAACAAAGGAAATCTTCTAGCATTTTAAGTTATTTTGATTGATTAATTAGAATCACTTACTTGGCTTTGTGAAGAACTAGTTTCACCTTAAGAATAGTATCATTCGAATTTAATTTTAAAACATGAGGTGGAGTTGAATGGTTTCCAGGATTTTGTGGATAATATATAGAGTCAAATAATGTTCCTATTCCTACAAAAAGCTAAATGGAGAGCACTATTACAATTAGTAGTCCTGGAGGTGAAATAAATCTCAGTTTAATGAACGTACTTTCTGAAGATGAGAAATAGTAAACCACATAGCAGGTGAATTTCCCAATAAATTTAATGGGAAATTATTAGTGGGTTGGGAAGCAATTCCATTTATCAAATCATGGTCAAATTCCAGTGACAGGCTGGCTATGAATATAAAAGTGTTGCAAGAAACACATTTTTGTGAGAATCATGTGGCTATGATATTGAAGACAAAAAGTACTATATATTTATCTTATCTGTAAATTGTGTGCTATATGACTATTAGGATGGAATGCTTGTGTCCTTCTAAAATTCATGTGTTGAAACCTTAGCCCCTGATATCATACTATCAGGAGATAGGGGCTTTGGGAAGTGATCAGGGCATGCAAGTGGAGTACTCAAGCATGGCCTGTGTCCTTGGAGATGCCGAACAGCAGCTCATAATTCATCACAGGAAGACACATCTGGAATGGACCAGCTGTGAACCGGAATATAGACACTCACCAGACTGAATCTGCTTTTGATCTTGGACTTTCCAGCCTCCAGACTGTGAAAAATAGATTTCTATTCTTATGAACTTTCCAGTGTATGGTGTTTTGCTACAGCAGTTGGAAGAAAGACAACATCCTTTACGTAGGTAAAATGAATAATAAGCGATGTACACATGTGTGTGAGAGCAAGCCTCCCCAACGCTAGAGAGTCAGTTGTTAAATACTTATCCGCACATTGCTAGCTACTGCTGTAAGGCACAAGAGAAAGACTTAGAAAAATCCATGTGGGTGTCAGGCTTTGGACTTGATCTTGACTGGCAAACAAATGATAGCATGTAACGGGAATGTCACGCACTTCAGAGCAAATTTCAAAAGTTTATTTTTGGAGGCCTCACATGCTCTTTTCTGTTCTTCTCATCCAGGTTCCAGGAGCAGCTACCACAGGGCCTTCAGTGTGCCTTCTACACCCCTACTACTGTCCACAGTCTACACTTCACAGCTTAGCCCTCTTTGAAGAGCCCTTGAGTTTTAAATCACCACTATGCCCAGTCAAACTCCTGTGTACTGTG